TGCCGTGCGGGGCTGTGCGGGAGGTGCGGGAGAAGCGCCGCGGGGCGCGCCCCGAGCGCTCTGCGCTGCCCCAGGTGTGTCCTGGGCAGTGACATTTGGGTAATAGAAGTTTCCAGCTCCGGTGGTTCATACCTTGGCGACGAGACTTGTTCCTTCTTTCTAAAAACCCAGGCGTTTGTTTTTTTTCTAACATGTATGATTTAACAAGTTTTCTAACTCTGGGATCTCTCTAGGGAGAAAGATCTCGACGAGGTCCTGCAGACACACACGGTGTTTGTCAACGTCTCCAAAGGTCAGGTGGCAAAGAAGGAAGATCTTGTTCAAGCCTTTGGGACAGATGACCAAACAGAAATCTGTAAGATGGTAAGTTTCGACCACTTGGCAGCTACCTGCTTTATCCAAGCTTGGAGAAGACTTTTGTTTTAGCTAGGGGTCATGAAACTGGGGTGTTGTTTTGGTAAGGAAAGCGTTTTGCAGGGTGTAGTGTTGCTAGAGGCAAAAGAGTTGTTAATTGTTATTGTTTATTATTTATTTTGAGCAATCTGACTCTATGATTTGTTAAAAAGTGGATAAAAGTAATAACTCTGTGGTATAGCTTTAAATGTCATATATGTATTTGACTGAGTAGATTCAGAATGTTCTGTATAACACAGCTTGTAGGCACTGATTTCTGCAGAAAGGGAAAGAAAGAGTTTACCAGTTCGGAAGAGTTTCTCACTTAGGATGTATTGCTGAGAATGTAGGGGAGGGGAGGGGACTGTGGTTACTTTGGAAAGTCTAGTTAAATGTTCAGAGCAGATCTAATTTCTTAGTCCTTCTGGGCTGGATACAAACTGTGGAGTTGTTGGTGATGTGAAGTTGAGCAAAGCTGTGTCTCTTTTTGTAGTTTAGTGTTTCTGTGGGATATTTTTTCCCTGAAATCTTCCCAGCATTGTCTGGCCTCAATATATACATTATTAATTCAATTACTCAATTTCTGCAGCTCATGTCTAACTGAACAGTTCAAGCAACTGTTAAATTTAATATGGTTACTAGGGGTTCACTCTTTGGTGAAATCTGTGATGTTTATTAACTGTTTTTTTCAATGTTTTCCTGTCCAGATTCTAGCAAAAGGGGAGCTGCAGGTGTCGGACAAGGAGCGCCACACGCAGCTGGAGCAGATGTTCAGAGACATTGCGACCATCGTGGCTGACAAGTGTGTGAATCCTGACACCAAGCGGCCCTACACCGTCATCCTGATAGAAAGAGCCATGAAGGACATTCACTACTCTGTCAAACCACACAAGAGCACGAAGCAGCAGGTTGGTTTTCTCACCAAATGAGCCTGTGCTCAAAGCTGTTGTCTTCAGTTGTAGTTATTTGGAGTATTGTGTCTAGTTCTGGGCTTGCCAGTTCAAGAGGGACAGGGATCTACTGGAGAGAGTCCAACAGGCTACAGGGATGATAAAGGGACTGGAACACCTGCCTTAGGAGGAAAGGCTGAGAGACCTGGTGGGGCTTTTCAGTATAGAGAGGAGAAAACTGAGGTAGGATCTAATTAATGTCTATAAATACAAGAGGGCTGGGGGTCAGGAAGGCAGGGACAAGCTCTTTTTCCCTGGAGGTGTTAAAAAAAACAGGTAGACACGGTATTTTGGGAGATGGTTTATTGGTTAGGGATTGTAGGGTAGCTGGTTGAACTTGATGATCCTGAAGGGCTTTTCCAACCTTGATGATTCGATGATTCTTTTCACTTGTGCCCTGTGATAGGACATGGGGCAATGGATTAAAAGTGGAGCACAGGAAGTTCCACCTCAACATGAGGAAGAACATCTTTCCTGTGAGGGTTACAGAGCCCTGGGACAGGCTGCCCAGAGAGGGTGTGGAGTCTCCTTCTATGGAGACTTTCAGGACCTGCCTGGATGCCTTTCCAAGTGACCTGCCCTAGATTTGGTCCTGCTCTGGCAGGGGGGTTGGACTTGATGATCTCCAGAAGTCCCTGCCACGGAATATTGCAGGTTGATTCTGTGATTCTCTGCCAGCATCCTCTGAGGGCTCCGCACTGCCCTGTGCTCTACAGACCACAGAGCAGTGACTCAGCTGCCAGCAGGTGGGTGCTGGATGCAAACAGCTTCTGAAACTCTTGCAGTTTTTTTCTGACCATTCAGGGAAGGGAGAAGGAAACTGATTAATGCACCCACATTCCAGGTATGCCTGGAAGAGGGGTAAAGCTTTTATCATTTTAATTGAGGTGGGAAATCAGACTTTGCATTTGCGTCACGTTGGTTCCTGTTTTTCTGCAATACAGCTGCTACTTGACATTATTCCAGAGGGGGTTTTTAAGTATTTTACATGATCAGCAACAGCAAAAACTCTGTCCTTGTTAATTGACCAACACAGTGTAATAGCAATCTCCCTGGAGCAGAGTGGAAGAGATCAGTACTGATAAATGTGTCAGAAGCAAACACAAAGGATTTGAGTTTTTGATCTGTGTAAGTGTTTTTAAGCAGGTCTGTAAATGCTGTTTCTGCTTCATGTCTGTGTAGGCACTGGAAGTGATCAGACAGTTAAAGGAGACCATGCAAATTGAACGGGCTCACATGAGGCTGCGATTTATTCTCCCAGCAAAGGAGGGGAAGAAACTGAAAGAGAAGCTTAAGCCACTGGTTAAAGTTATTGAGAATGAAGACTTCCATGAACATCTGGAAATTGTAAGTGACAAATTACAGAATCATGAAATGCTAGGTGGGAAGGGACCTCAAGGATCATCTGGTCCAACCTTTCTAGGTACTACTGTAGTTGATATGAGGTGGCTCAGGCACCCTGTCAAGTTGAGACTTCAAACTGTCCAGTGTGGGGGAATCCACCACTTCCCTTGAGAGACTATTCCAATAGTCATAGAAGGTGATCAGATTTGTCAAGCATGATTTGGCCCTGGTAAAATTGGCTTTTCCCAGTCACGTTCTTCAGTTGACTTGTGACAGTCCCCAGGAGGATCTGCTCCATGACTTTCCCAGGGACTGAAGTAAGGCTAATGGGTGGACCTGGGTCCTCCTTTGGACCCTTCTTATAGATGGGGTGACATGAGCCTGTGTTCTTGAAAAACTCCCAGCACTCAGTAGCTCCTTTACCATCCATGGAAGCTTCCCATGGGATCCCTTCCAACTGAGCCCAGAGTGAGCTGAAGTTTGCTTTTCCAAAATCTAAAACCTTTGTTCTTGAATTAACCTTCATGGTGCTCAACAGTGTCCCAGACTCCACCATCCTGTCATCACTGAAGCCAAGTCTGTCACTAACAGAGATACCACAGAGCAGGTTTTCTTGGTCAGTGAGTAGTAAGTCCAGCTGTGCCCCATTCCTGGTTGGCTCATCCAACATTAGTGTGAGGAAGCAGTCTGCTACACATTCCAGGAACGTGGCTGATGCCAGGTGAGCTGCAATGTTGCTCCTCCAGCAAATGTCTGGGTAGTTCAAGTCTCCACCTGGACCAGGCTGTGCTGACCCAAAGCTTGCCTGAGTGACCTAAGTGTCACTTCATAAATCACATAGTCTTGGTTTGGGAGTGAGTAACAGATGCCTACTGTAAGGTCACCCTTGGAGACAGCCCCTTAGATTTTGACCCAGAGGCCTTCAACAGGGCTACCACAATTACCACAGCTGACTCACATGCATCCGAGGTTTTCTTCAGCACAGAGTGTGACTCCTCCACCTCTTCTCCCCTGCCTGTCTTTACAAACAGCCTGGATCATGTCTCGGGGCCCTCCAGTCTGTTAATCATCCCACCATGTTTCAGTTATTCCTATGATACTGTAACTATCTGACTGGACATGGAGCTCCAGTTCCTCCTGTTCATTTCCCAGGCTATGTGTTTGTACAGACACTTCAGGTGGCTGATCTTTTGGTTCGCATTTCGGGGAACAGCTGTCACACATTTTACTACTCTGGTTGGCCTGGTTTATTCCCCAATGGGTTGCAGTGATGATGGTGGAGTGATCACTGCCATCTGGGATCCCTCCCCCTGGTGCTGGCGTGCTGTTCCCTGGCTCCTCTCCAGTAAGCCCAGGTGTACCCCTTCCCCCCTTCAAGCCTAGTTTTAAGACCTGTCTATGGTCTCTTAAGTGCTTATATTTTATAATTATTTCACTACACTGGTACAGCTCACTAGAAGGTGATATGAGTTGTTCAGATAAGCTGCAAATTTACCAGAGATTCTAAATCAAGTGTAGTTTGTGGTTTTTAATTTCAAGCAGTTCTTGCAGCTTGAAAGTAGGCTTTGTTATATGGAGGTTGCTGCTGCAGGCTGGGGAGGATCACAGCGTAACTTCTCTTAGCAGAGACTCTCCTACAACTCTGATAAGTTTCTCTGAATGTTGCTCTTATTTGTGAGTCAATCCTGTATTTTGACAGGTGTTCATTAGTTTTGAAAAAAGGTCTGTGGTAGAACAAGATTTGGTATTGGTAAAAATCTCTGAGAAGATATGAGAATCCAGCAATCCAGCTGTCAAGAGACATCCAGTGTTGGTAACTGGAACTGCAGAACTTCTTTGGAAAGATTCTCAGACAAAAATCGCTCATCAACCCTAAAAAAATCCCTTTAGTAATTGTTTAAAATTAAAATTGCTGTTGGAACTTAAAGTCATAGAATCATTTTGGTTGGAAAAGATAATTTTAAGATAATTCAGTGCAGATGTTAACCCAACACTGCCACCCTGAAATGGGGCTAAGAAAAATCTGCTTGAGGATGATGAAGGGACTGGAACACCTGCCTTAGGAGGGAAGGCTGAGAGACCTGGGGCTTTTCAGTCTAGAGGGCACCTCTTTTCACTTGTGCCCTGTGATAGGATGAGGGGCAAGGGGCAATGGATTCAAACTCAAGCTCAGGAAGTTCCACTTCAACATGAGGAAGAACTTCTTTCCTGTGAGGGTTACAGAGCATTGGGACAGGCTCCTCAGAGAGTTTGTGGAGTCTCCTCTGAAGACTTTCAAGACCTGTCTGGTTGCCTTTCCAAGTGACCTGCCCTAGATTTGGTCCTGCTCTGTCGGGGGGTTGGACTTGATCTCCAGAGGCCCCTTCCAACCCCAAACGTTCTGTGGTTCTCTGATTGACTGATAAGATGTGACCTATTTCAGGTGTGCCTTATTGACCCCGGCTGCTTCAGAGAGATTGATGAGCTGATCCGGAGTGAGACAAAAGGGAAGGGAACACTGGAAGTGCTCAGTCTGAAGGACGTGGAGGAAGGAGATGAAAAGCTGGAATAACAGAACCCATCCTTGACCAGTTCTACTTTAACAGCACCCTGCGAGATGATTGGCATTACCCCCTCTCTTCTGCTAGAGCTTCATGTTTTTTCCAGTCTCTTGCTGCCAAATAATTTTCTGATGTTCATCTGCTAGAATTTTTCTGTGCAGTGTTTTTTTATCATTTGACACCTGCTTGGTTTACAAATGGGTTTGGCTGTAGGAGCATTTTGTGTCGGAGTTGCACTAATGAGGATTGAATTAAGCCTTGGTATGAAGCTCTTCCTGCTGTGGTGGACCTTAGGGGTTGCTGTTGCAAAGAGACTGATATGGTGCCAATCATCTTTACTTTGAATTGCCAGTGCTGAGTGGAAGGTTGCACAGGTTGTTTGAGGGGGTTTTGTAGAGGAGGAGAGGAATCTGGAGAAAAGGGACCTGCATTTTCACTTTTAAACAGGTGTGAAGTGTGGATTGTGTCTAAACTGGTGTCTTAGCAGCATGGAAACTGAGTTAGACTTCTGTAATTAGCAGCTTGAGAATCAGAGTACTTCAAAGGACCACTTCACTGGATACAACAATACTTGCTGACAGAGAAAATGTTCTCCAAATAACTTATTTGTAAAATATATTTAGCTACATTAATAAAAATGAACTATCTATATATTCAAGATACATAAAAAAATTAAAATAATAAATTAAAATTAAAGGAAGAAGTCAGAGAGCTGTGATCAATGGGACAGAGTCTAGCTGGAGGCCTGTATATAGTGGAGTCCCTCAGGGGTTGGTACTGGGACCAGTACTATTCAATATATTCATCAATGACCTGGCTGAGGGAACAGAGGGCACTGCCAGCAAGTTTATTGATGACACCAAACTGGAAGGAGTGGATGACACACCAGAGGGTTGTGCTGCCTTCCGATGAAACCTGGACAGGCAGGAGAGTTGGACAGGGAGAAATGTAATGAAATCCAAGAAGGGCAAGTGTTGAGTTTTGCATCTGGGAAAGAACAATCCCATGCAACAGTACAGGTTGGGGTCTGACCTGTTGGAGAACAGTGCAGGGGAGAGGGACCTGGGGGTCCTGGTGGACAGAAGGATGACCATGAACCAGCAATTGTGCCCTGGTGGCCAAGAAGGCCAGCAGCCTCCTGGGGTGTATTAGAAGTGGTGTGGTTAGTAGGTCGGGAGAGGTTCTCCTCCCTCTCTACTCTGTCCTGGTGAGGCCACATCTGGACTATTGTCTTCAGTTCTGGGCCCCTCAATTCCAGAAGGACAGGGAACTGCTGGAAAGAGTCCAGTGCAGAGCCACAAAGATGATGAAGGGAATGAAACATCTTCCCAGTGAGGAAAGGCTGAGGGAGCTGGGTCTCTTTAGCTTGGAGGAGACTGAGGGGTTACCTCATCAATGTTTATAAATGCATTAAAGGCAAGTGTCAGGAGGGTGGAGTTCTTCTCAGTGATGTTTAATGATAGGACAAGGGGCAATGGGTGCAAACATGAGGAAAACCTTTTTCACTGAGAGTGATGGAGCTCTGAGACAAGTGGCCCAGATAAATTATGGAATCTCCTTCTCTGGAGACATTCCAAACCTGCCTGTGTGATGTGCTCTAGGTTACCCTGCTCTGACAGGGGGATTGGACTGGATGACCTTCGAGGTCCTTTCCAACCCCCAACATGCTGCGATTCTAGGAAAGTTTAGTGGCATAATGACTGTGTTTGCCGTGTGAATGCAGCCTCAGTGTGTAGTCCTCTACCTGCACAGACAGATTGGCAAGATTCCTCATGTGTACAAACCCGTAACTGCTTTTTTTTCCATCTCTTCACGTGTACTTTGTGAAGCACTGAAGATATAGTGTTCATATTTAGCTTTTGACTGACAAAAGCACTAACTTGCAATTCATAAATCTGCAAGTAAAACACTGGAACAGGCTGCCCAGGGAAGAAATACAGATGTGCTGAGGGACATGATTTAAGCACTGAACTGGTAGATTAGGTTACAGTTGGTGGGTTTAAGTTATGGTTGGACTTTATGATCTTCAAGGTCTTTTCCAGCCAGGATGATTCTGTGACTCTGTGATTCTGTGTACCCTTTTCCCAGAAAGTTTAATAGAGCAGATCTTGTTCCTTTTTCTGAAGCCTGTGATAGAGCTCAAAATCGGAGGTGGGGATGGGCCATGGTGAGGGCCAAGCTGGCTTTCTTCCCCTTGGTCCTTTGGGGCCAACACTTTCCTGGGACCTGCACCCCCAGACAGCTCTGGGACCCCCATGGGCTGAAGTCTGTCTGAGGCAGCTCTGGGAAAGGTGGGGCAGGGCCTGGGGCCTGTCTGGGCTCTGGACCTCAGGGTGGGTGTCCTGGTGTCCGTGGTGGGAGTGAAAGGGCAGAGCTGCCTTGGGAAGGAAAGTAGAGTCAGAACTGGAGCCGCAGCCTGCGGCTGCCTGGCCTGTCTGGGCACCCTTGGCACCTCTTCCCTCCCCCATCCTCTGCTGACAGCTGGTGCAACTCATGCTCCTACTCCTGAGCAAAGAGCTAACAGCAGCAAGATCTCAGGGGTGCCCGGAGGGAAGGTCTGACCCCGCATGACCCAGGACAGCAGAGGACACTGAACCAGGCCTGTGGCTTGGGGATGGATCCCCAGCCCTGCCGATGGGTCACCCACCCCCAACCCTGCAGGCCACAGTGCTCAGAGAACAAGGCTGCCAAGAGCTGGGGTCATGTCCCCAAGTACAGCCACCAGCCAGGGCTTCTGACCTGGCAGATCACCCCACATGTTCTTGTTGGCTTTGGTGAGACTCCAGGTTTAGGGATTTTATTCTCACAATATAGCACAACTTGTGGCTTTTAGAAGAAGCTCCAGAAATAGCAGAATGTGCCATTGAACAGAATTGAAGGCCATCCTGGGGAGCTCTTGTGCAATTAAAGACCACACTGTAATTGCACCTGTCCATCTCCTGTCACTGTCCTGTTCTCGTGCCTGCCACAGCTGGGGTGTGTGTGCTGGGGTCTGGGCAAAGGAGTCCTTTGCTGCTAGAAGATGCAGAAATCTGAAGAATACTCTGCAGGTGGCCAAACAAACAGGTGGGGGGGGATGGTTCTGGGCCACTGAAACTGTCCATGCTCAACACTCCCAGGGTTTGAAGCCAGGCTGCCCTAGGTAGGCTGCACTCAACTAGCTGGCATGAAGAAGCAAAATACTTGTACCCCACCACATATGGTTACTCTGGCCACCCTTCTTGCTGACTTGAGCAGAAAACATCTCTGTTTTTGGTGCAGAGGGCCACCAGTCTGATGTTGAGATGCACCTCAGGTTCTTGCTACAACCTGGGGCAACACAATTGCAGGAGTGGAGGGATTGACCAGGAACCATGGAAAAACTGCCTGTCCCCAGGCTTTGGTACAAACCACCCACCCCTTCTCTCCTTCAGGGCTGTCACAGCTGCTGCCACAGTAGCTGTAGCTACATTAAGACTGTGAGAGCTAGCCTGGGCTCTGGGGCTCGTCTTCACAGGGGCTGGTGCAGCACAACTGTGGAGCATCAATTTGTGTCTCAACTGGGTTAGAAGCAGCAGCTCCAGAACACATCTGTTGGACAACAGTCATCAGACTACTACCTGAATGGTTTGAAACCAGTTGGTAAGACCAAGGGAGACTCTAGCTTTGTCCACCTAGCTATGTGGGGGATGGTTTCCTTCTGTGGTGACCTTAGGACCTTCTGAAGGGCTTCCCTTCCTTTCTTGGTGATACAGAAACAAACATGCACCCAAAGGGTGCTGCACAGGGAAGCAAGGTTTTCATCTCTCTTAGCGAGAGTGCTGGCTTGAACAGAGATGAGCCCACAAATGTCTGCTGAAGCCTAAGGTAGCTGAGAAACCCACCTCTCAGCAGTGACATCAGCAAGATCCAACATCTGATGATCAACACTTAAGAATGTCCCAGTTCTAAGTATTCTGATGGCCTGAAGGCTGAGGAGAAGAGAAGGAGCAAACAATGTTTTGTGTCTGGTAGAAGTGAAGAATGACCTGTTAGAGCACAGTTGTGTTGCTTTATCCCTTGTGTCCTGCCCTGGTGTACAGAGAAGCCACAAAACATGTTGAAGACTTTTCTCTAATTGAGCTGGATAGAGACTCTCCTCCGTGGTCCATTTCACAGCTGCAAGGTAATTCTGGACTGTTCCAGCTGTCTTTAAAGGAGGGGAAGAGCAGCAGCACACGGTAGCATGGGAGTTTCAGGTCTACTAAAACCAGTCAGTGAAGGATACAAGGGGCACCAAACATTCACTCAGAGCATTCCAGCACATTGTCCCAAATCCCCATGTCATCTGCAAAGCAAGGGAAAGGTACATCACCACACCAGCCTGCAGCCTGCAGCTTGGAATCCAACCAGGCAGACGTCACAGGGTGCTATCCCACTGAACATACCCGCGGGTGGCAGTGGTGGCCATGGATGTGACACATGGCCAAGAGGTACAAGAGAGAGTGGGAAGGAGCCACAGACAGTGCCTTGGTTTCCAGATTTAAAAAAAACCCCAAAGCCAACCAACCTGGAGTAGCCCAGGAATGCAGCAGCAGGGTTAGGAGCAGCACCCAAGCGTTCTGCCAGAGCCAACCCTTAGCCATCTGAGACCTCCCTGCCTGAAGCAACCTGCCTGTACCCCACAGAGGCCCTGGAGCAGGAGAGGTCCCCAAGGTGGGGCTCACCCCATGCATACATCCACAAATGCCAGAAAAAGAAGTGGGGTTGCAGGGGGCTCCCTAGGATAGGAAAACAGTATTAATAGATCAGTAAATACAGGGAAGGGAAGGAAGGTCTGATACCAGCTAGAGTTTGAAGAGGGGGTAGGTATGGGCTGGCATAGCCCAGGGAAGAAGGGGACAGATTTCCTTTTCTGTCCTGAGAAACCCTTATTTCCTTCAACCACAATTGCTGCCAAGGCTTCACAGAAGCTCCAGCTCTGATCTCTGCAGCCAGTGCTGAGGCAGGTGAGGAACCTAAACCAGGACACAGGGAAATTTGCAGCAGCCCATTGGTCACATGGA